TAAGAGTCATATTCTTTAAGGTCAAACTCAGACAATGAAATCAATCAAATATTAATTAAAAATAATAATAATTCAACAATACTCCTAGATACTGATAAAATCTATACTAGTCTAACAACCAAAATATTAAATAGATTTAAGCTAAGGTATACTATATACTCAAAAATTTTTACATACTCAAGAAATGTAACTTTATAATAGTTTGTTTTGTGACAAAATAAAAAAAAGATAAGATATACAAATAATATATTTTTTACAGAAATATTATCTCTTGTAAAATATTAAATATATATTCAAATCAAAAAAATAGAATTCTAAAGATAAAAATAAAAATACAAGATTTCAATTCAAAAGTATAAAAATAAATGATTAATTAATACCTGACTTGCAATCAAATAACAAATTAGTAGTATCTATTTTTACTTTAGCAAGTTATCATAATTTTAGAAACTAAAGACAAACTAGAAAGCAAAGCAATAATAGAATAAAATAAAAAATAAATAAAATAAAAAAATACTCTGCAATAGAAAGCAATAGAAAATTAATTAGAAATAAGTAAAATAGTAAATGTAGATTTTCAGAAATAATATGAGACACAAAATAGAAAGTATATAAGATTCTTTAAAGAGTATTTTAATTAATTTGAAATAATTACAAATTAAAATAAATACTTTAAAGAAATAAATAGTTTTCAGAAAATCAAGATACAATAATAAGGAAGCAAATTATTTCTAAAGGCATACTAGTCCTTGATAGCAATCAAAAGAAATAAGAATCTACTACCTACTTATCAAAAACTATAAATATGAATAACAAATAAATTCTAAAAAAAAAAATATAATAAAAGAAATAAAGAATCTAGATATCTCAATATTTCTATAAAATAAATAGAAAAAATTTTTAAGTAGCAATATTAGATATAAACTATTAGAAAAAAGTAAAGAAGAGAGAAATATATATAAAAAAGTGATTAAAATAGACACATATAATATTAGAGAGACCTGTGAGTCAATAGTGTAGTGGGTATACTTCCAGGTTACTATCTGTAAGTTACTAGTTCAATTCTATTCAAGAACAGTAATCATATTATAGATTATATTATATAGGATACATACTTATCAGCCACATATACTCCTACATATACCTGATCTATTAAACATCACCATCTAACCACAGTGCAATAAATAGATCACATAAGTCTTAGTTAGTTTTAGCACTAAAACAAAAAAAGCTATAATATACATATTATCAGGAATATGTGAAACTATTGAAAGAATACCAGAAATGATAATAATTGTCTCAAGATCCTATCAGTCTAATAAAAAATTCATCTCTTCTCAAATTACTATACTTATGAAAGGTATTGAAAGACTTTGGTCATCAGTACTAATCACAAAAGTTACCAGAGAAATAGGACTAATTTGATTTTAGATTGTGAAAAAACAAAGTATTTATAATGGGAACTATAGGGGTGATACATTTAATAAAGGTTAAAGATTTTATTTGATCAAGGAAAATTCATGTAGGTTATTTTTAAAAAGTGGTTAAGAATGATTACTGGAAGACTTAGGTTACCACAAGATATACCAATAGTTATTAGGGCTCTACGTTTGATCAATTGGAGATTAAAGTATCAAGTAATCTAGCCTCTAAAGAAATCAAACATAACAAGAATGTTATATAAGATTTGAAAATACCTCTATTATATAAATTAAATATACTCTATGGAATACATGACAAACAAAAATGCCCCTGAAATTAAAAATGGTAACCTCTAATGGATTCTTATAACACTAGATACCCAGGTAAAGCAGAATAACTGACAAGATGATATTTGCTTGAGAAATAGGTAAAATCAAGTTTATTAAGTAAAGATAGTATAGTTAAAAATAGTTATAAGTACAAACTTTTGTAATTTAAAATCTGTACTTTTTATAAATCAATAAAACTTAATCAGTATGATCAATTAAACAAACAAATATAATATTATAGAGATTATAAATAATACAAAATAATAAAATCTAATCAAAAAGATATTAAAATAATAATTAAAAATATTAAGATTATATAAAATAAAAATAACTCAGATTAATATACAATAAGTTTTAAACAATAAAAAAAATTACAAATATTTTTATAATATTAATAAAGACATATCATTTGAGACAGGAGTCAATTTTTTAATCAAAAAAGATTTAGAAAAAAATTATATCAATAAAAAAAAAGAATATATTATTATTATTAATATATTTATAAAAAAAAAAAAAATTTTATATTATATAAATCTATATTCCTTTAAACAAACTAAGATATAAAATAGTATAAAATAAGATAATTAGTTTTATCAAAGAAAATATGGATAAGGCTATTACATAATAGTAATGAGAAATTTTAATATGACCTATAACTTTTTAAAAGATAAAAAGTTATTCTTAAAAACAAGCTTTTGATTATTATAGTAAGAAATCTCACTATTTAACTTCCTTGATAAATGGAATTTTATAGATATACAAGTTAAATGAAAAGGTAAAAAAAAAACTTCAATAAGAAGAAATTAACAAGTAATAATAGAATAGACTATATTTAAATCCCATATAGTTTAACAAGTTATCCATTACTCTAATTTGATAATCAAGATATAGAAGACATTATAAATATAATTATCACTTAATTATTATTCATTCACTTGCTCTTTATTTATTTAATTCAATTCTTTGTTTTATATAAAAATCTACTTTACATTTGCAAATCCCACCCACTCTATATATAGTATGTTATATTCTGTAAACCCTTACATTTTGCACACTTGCTTATACTAAATATTTTACATTTCAAAAACTTGAACATATATTTTACAAATCTATTCTATATTCTACAAACATACTCACCTTACATACTCTAGGTTTTGCCTTATGTTCCACAAACCACAATCACGAAAAAAACAAACACAAAAAGTATGTATATTGATTGGCAGGAAGACACGCACCATTATAATGTCCCAAATTTCTACAAAGGGGTATGAATATGCTTAGTGTTTATTTCCGGCCACCCTAAATGGGGGTGATCACCATCACGTGATCCAAAATTTACATGTACACGTATATCAAATCTTAACTGTTTACCAAATTTCGAGTGACGTAGGTTTTATACTTTTTTTTTTTATTTCTTTTCGACAACTTTGCTAAGAACGAATGACGCGTCTGCGATAACAAGTTCTATCGGAAGCCAAGTAATTGGCAAGTCATCGTCTAAGGATGGCCGGCTGACTTCGGAATACAAAGTTGTTTAGTGTTTGTTGAGTACTCGGGGCGTCTGCGATAACTGAGTTCTATCGGGAGCCAAGTAATTGGCAAGTCATCGTCTAGGGATGGCCGGCCGCTGAGTAAACAACAGCACACTTCAAGGTCATTAATTAACTTTTAACAAACAAAATGCACTCATCTCCTCTTTTTTTATTAAAAATGCATAAAATGCCAAGTATGATTTCTTCACGGACGAAAGTGAAACAACGCCACATATATTGGATGATTTCATATAACAATCTGACTCCCCTAGAATTCTTTCGTTTTATCACGCTAACACATAAATCCCGTGCAATTGAAAAGTACGGAAAATGTCTTGATAAGGCTATTGATTTCTGTGAGGACTCGGGCAAACAGTCGAAACTAAGAAATCTCAAAGAAACTGTTAATGTATATAATCAAAATTGTTTTACTTGTAGCATATTGTATATCTAACGTATACTTTCTTCATTAATAGTGTAATTCAGATTGGGAATTGTGGCTTATGGAAAAAAAATCGTGCGTTCGATCACAAACTTTCAACTAAGTTCGCAACTAACTATGATAACTTTTATCCGATAGATGTCAATTCGTGATGAAATTCATGAAACAAATGTGGAAGTACACCGAGAATTAAACTCCCTTGTCAGGAATGGAGGAAGACAAAAGGTAACATTATTAATACTCTGAATTAGTCTTTTATCAATTGTGGACGCATATTTAAAATTTTAATTATTGTTCAGCAGAATAATGAAAATGCCGATGATGAAGAAGGTAGTAACAATGATAGCATCAATAACGAGGAAGAGGGTAACAACATAATGATAGCATCAATAATGAGAGAGGTAGTAACAATAATGATAGCGCTAATAACGAGAACGGCGATAACAGCAATAATGATGGCACCAATAATAAGGAAGGTATTAAAAGCGACGAAGGTGCCGACAGCAGTAATATGAATGAGGAAGATGAAAACAAGGTCCGCATCTTTTATTTGCAATACGTACAGATATGATAAGAAAAATATTAATTCGTTTTGTCTTATTATAGATAATCGTTTATGATATTCTTGATTGCGATATATCAGCAACTCAGGCTGAACAAGACGTTCTAGAAATATATCACTCAAAATTTAATAATTCATGGACCTCCGGCTACATTCAGAATTATCTCTTTCCTTAGATCAAGAATTACAAGATAAAATTCTACATGAAGTTTTCGACGAAATAGACAAGGATTATATAACAGATGAAGTACACAATTTTCTCACCGATTTTTTTAATGCCGATCACGGCAAACAAGAATGGCGCGAATCGATCCAGAGCATAGTCATTAATGAAAAAGACTCGGAATTACTGCAGGGTACAAAAGAACTGCTTAAGGGAACATTGGGACGATTGTAAGTAAGAAGTTTTAGAGTATCCCATTTTACAAAATTACTAATACACTATTACGTATAGTATAAAGGCCTTCTCTTTAGATGCAATAAAACCCCTTGAGAGATGTTACGATTTTAGAAAGACCTCATCTCAACCAATTTATACATCCGTTAATTGATAATGCGTTGTGGATTTTTGCAAGTGTTAATTATATATCGTAAGTTGAAACTGTCTTTATTTTTCTCTTTTTGATTTTCTTAAATTAATTACATAATTTCATTAGTGGTGAGATTTCTTTACAAGGAAAAACAAAAGTCATGGCAGATGGTGTTGGATACCTTAATGATGTCTCAAACTACCAAATTGTTTGCATTGAAGGGTCAAAACCAGGAGCGAGGAATGAAAAAAATGTTAACGACGATAAGAACACCAAAAGCATGATACAACTGTTTAACCATATAATTGTATCGGAGGCTTCAGAACGAAGACAAGTATATACAGGCCTTCGAGTATATGGTGCAACTGCTTGTAAAACCGAACTCTCCCTTACAATGCTTGATTTTCGTGGTGTTTAATACGTATAATTTCATGGTGATGTCATATATAGCCTAACTAATTCAATTTTATACGATCATCAGGAACATATCGTTTGGTTGAAGTGGATCGTTTTAATCTCCCAAGAGATTGGCTAGATATGCCTAATTTCGTTTTTATGTATGAAGCTCTAATAAAGTGGGCAGTAAGTATATGCACGAATTTATCATCTGTATTTCAAAATGCCACTATTTGTAATGATAAGATAATTATTATACAGTTGTGTGTCCATTATACGAGAGAAAAATTGATTGCTCAGCGTAAAAAGAGAAGGATGGGAAGATACTCCGAAGCAAGAATTGCCAAAAAACTCGTGGGTCTAACATGACTGGTTTATACAGTATCTATGATTTACTTTATACCAATAAATAATTCATACTAATAGATAATTCATACTGAATGTATTGAGGCTGATACGAACCAATAAACATCTCGGCAGGCGATCACTCATAACACGACGATGCTTTATTTTTCCTGGTTAAAAATAATATATGACGCCGTAGTTCACGTTGCTTTATTAATTTTTGCTTAAAGACAAAAAAGTGCCAAACTTCAAGACTGACGGTCGAGTTACATCACAATCACGTGATCGCTGCATTTTTACTGTAAACCACTGCATACAATACCCCCCTTAAATAATACCTGGTAGTATTGTTATTCAATAAATGATTACTACCTGGGCATATTAAATATACTGCAATTTTATTGGCTATAGCTTAAAATTTAATAATATGCATTATATAATTCTTTGTAATTTTTTTTAGAGAAAGAAAGAATCAAACAAGAAGGAATGAATTGAATGGACAAGAAAGAAAGAAATAGTAGGCAAGATAAAAAAAAACAAATGAGTAAAAGAGAAAGGAGCAAATGAATAAGAAATAAAAGAAAAAATCAAGCAAAAAAGAAAGAATAGATTAAGTAAACAAAAAAAGAAAAAAATGACAAGAGAAAAAGAAATGAATGAACAAGAAAGAAAGGAATAAATAAACAAAGAGAAAGAAATGAGCAGGCAAGAGAAAAAGAAACAAATAAACAAGAGAAAAGGAAACAAATGAACAAAAGAAAAAAGAACAAATGAACAAAAGAAAAAGAAAGAATCAAGTAAGAAATAAAGAAACAATAAACAAAAGAAAAAAAAAACAAACAAGTAAAAAAAAAAGAAGCAAATGAATAAGAAACAAAAGAAAAAATCAAACAAGAAAGAATGAATTAAGTAAACAAAAAAAAATAAATAACAAGAAAAAAAAATAAATAAATAAGAAAAAAAAAATAAATAAAGAAAAGAAAAAGAAACAGTAAACAAGAAAAAAAGAAACAAATGAATAAGAGAAAAAGAAATAAGTAATCAAGAAAGAAAGTAACAAATGAATAAGAGAAAAAAATAAATCAAGCAAAAAAGAAAAAAAAAAAAATAAATAAATAAGAGAAAAAGAAATAAATAAGTAAAAGAAAAAAAATCAAATAAACAAGAAAAAAAAGAATAAACAAAAAACAAAAAAAAAAAATAAACAAAAAAAAAATAAATAAATAAACAAGAAAAAAAAAAGAATCAAATAAACAAGAGAAAAAGGAATCAATATATCAGATAATAGTAAAATACTGAATATTTCATCATTTATACTATTTCTCTTCTAGCAAAATACTTTAGATACTAATTAATTTATCATAAAATAAATTGATTAATATCTAGGATATTATATGTAGTGGTTTACAATAATAGTTTATTAATAATTTATTAACTATTTATTAATTATATATTAATAATTCTTTAATTATTTATCAAAACTATTTATTAAAAATTCATCAACTTTAATTAAAACTATTTATTAAAAATTTGACAAATATTCATCTACTATTTAATAAAAATTTATAAAACTTATAAAAAATTTTATTTATATTTGTAAAAATTTAATATTATTTATTTATTTATTTATTTTTATGTTTAAATCATAATTGATATTAAATATAAAACTTTATTTGACAATTTTAATTCCACTATTATTACATCAAATATCTTTATAGATTATATATTTCTATATACATACAGATTAATACTAACCTATCATAACAATTCTAGCTAAACTTATTATTATTTCAAAAGTGAGTATATCTAGCTAGTAGTTAAGTAATTAATACACGGTCATAAATGGTAATGTTAGGTTAATTGATATAAGACTCAATTAACTTTAATTAATTCACTATACTAGTCATTTTTTGAAGTATCTGATGGAATGTAAACACCTTCCACTATTACTAAATATTGTTCACTCAGATCTCAGAAAAGTACATTACCTTTTTTGTACTACTTATAATATCAGATCAATTCTTATTAACTGAATTTCAATTAAGCGAAGTATCAGATTGAGATGTCCTAGATTAGAAGAGTAGAGATTCTGAAAGTTGTTAATATAAAGTGAATCTAGAGCATTTATGGAAGTTAAATCAGAAACCTTACTTTATGCAATCCTTTTAGTAGTATAACCCTTTATATTTCAGCTCCTGATTGATGAAAGATCAGAAGTTACATCTTTATATAACCTAATTTATTTTTTAGACTGGTTTCAGATGATTGGATATAACTTTTATAGAATAATATATAAACTTGATCAAAAGAATAATTTTGATTTTTGATCCTTAAGTGGTATTGAACTGTAAACCTTATGATTGTGACTTGAAAACACTACTACTGTACTATTGACTCATAGGTTATTTAATATTATTTATATAATAATATATAATTAATTAAATTATACTAATATAAATTATATAATATATATTATATATTAAATATTTCTCTTTCTGTTGATTTTTTAATCATATATAAAAAAGATATTTGCAAAAAGTTTTTTTTACTTTTTTACTAATAAAATCTTAATACTTTGATTAAATTAACTTGAAATATAACTTCAAGAGTCATTATTATCTTTTTTTTTTTGCTTGAAAACTCATTACTAAAAATTTGACTTTCTGTGATCAAGAAAAGTCAATTAATATTTTTGATATTAATGGCAAAAAAGTTTTAATGAAAGAAAAACTGATTGTAAAATATCTGAATATCTATATAATCTTTGAAGTAAAAGATTTATAGAGATTTTATACTATAAAAATTATTATTTTCTTTTTTTTAACTATTTTGGTCTTCTTAAAACTTCTACTTTTATAGTTTTTTAAAAAATTTTGTTTATTTCAATTTAATACTGAATTTTTGTAACAAAAAATTTTATCAAAAATGATTGATTAATATAAAACATATTAGTTTTTGAAATATAAACAAGCTCTTATTAATTATACTCATATTGTGATCAAATTTATATTTGACTTGTGTGTCCAAGTGAAATTACTTTTAAAAGGACATTTTCCAAAGAAAGAATTAAAGAAGTGGTTTATAATAAAGAAATATTCAAGAAGAGATTCACCAAGAATCCTTTAAACAGTGTCACAAAGTGTTTTCCAAGAAATATGGTTCGCTCAGAACCCAAGTTTATTAATAAATCAAGAAAACTAGGACAATTCCT